GTGTGTGTGTGTGTGTTAAGATGGTTCTCACTTTAAAAAGGGGGCATTTACAGTGTTTAAACTGACAGCCAAGTTAGGTTCTGAGTTAAGATCTGATTTATAATTTGTTTGTTGTTGGAACAAATGTACTCTAATAAATACTAAAAACTGTGTTTGCCTGTGTCTCTTTGAGTGCTGTTCATGGTGTCTATGTGTGTGTGTTAGTGAATATTTATGTGTGCGTGCATGTGTGACTGAGTGGATGTGTGTACGCGTGTTTGGTGAACGTGTTCTTTCTGATCTTCGGTGACATCATCACCTCTGTCTCTGCGGCGACACAGCATGGTTGTTGCTAGGCAACGGGGTTAGAAGGAGACAAAGACGCTCCCCTCACTCGCTTACTTTTCACACACACACAACACAAAAACCAAAACAACAACAAAAACCACACCACACACACAACACACACACGGAACCACACACACTTTGCCTTCCACATCAGGGTGAGGTGATGTGTGCCTGCCAACCAACCACTAAACACACACACCTACTTATCATCCCTTCTCCATCCCTGCTTTTCACAACGTCTTCACCCTCTCCTCCCCGTTCACCCTTCCCTCTCCCCATCTCTACCTGACCAACACCCTGACTCTATAATACTGGACTCAAAGTCAGATGAGAGGCACATAGACAGTACAGGACAGACAGACAGATTCAGACAAAGACAGTGCAGGGCTGTGATGATAGATATTAACTTCAACCAAGTAATAATGTACCAGCAGACAGGTGCAGAGTAGTACATTTAGCAGAAAAACATATATATAAATAAATGTATGTGTGTTTAAAGTTTTTGTGCACTGGACACCAGTGTGTGGAAAGTAAGTACATTTGTACATACAGTACATTTTGAGGTACTTGTACTTTACAATTTTCTGCCACTGTATATCCTTTAGTCCACCACATGTCAGAGGGAAATGTTGTACTTTTTACTCTGCTACATTTATTTTACGAATTAACAATACAAAATATGATCAACAAATAAATGATGCTTTATTATATATGATATTAATATATTTATTATATTAAGTAAAATAAGACTCCACACATGGTTGGGATTTACCAGTTACCTAGCAGCATATAAAATAATTTAATTAAATAAAACCAGCCCCACCTTCACCAACTGCGACGATGAACATATTAATTCATTAATAATTATAATACAATAATACAACCTATATTATTCTGACATGGGCCATTCAGCATAATGATTCATTTTACTTTTGGTACATTCAATATATTTTGATGCCATTTTTTTTTTTTTTTTTTTACTTGGTAAGTTTTTGAATACAGGACTTTTACTTCTAATAAGAGTATTTCTACACTGTGGTATTACTAATTAAGTAAATACTGTAATAAATGATCTGAGTACTTCTTCCACCAATGCTGGGCCTAAATACACTATTCTACCTGTAACTCTTTGAGAGACATGGGGACAATGTCTTTATGAAATTTAACTCTATAGTTGAATTCATGCCACCTATAGAGACTTTGCATTAATCGTTTTTTGCCTGTGTGTGACCCTTATGGTCAGTCTATGCTTTGACATTTAGAGACTCTGCACGGAGATATTTCTGCCTCCGGAGATTAGAGAGGAGGAAGATTCTAGACACAAGGGTTGGATTAACGAGCAGTGTAAGGAGACACACAGAACAGCATCGACAACAATCATCTAAACACCCTGCCTTGCCTAACAGATCTAGGTTTGTGTGTGAACACAATTTACATAAACATAATCATATTAATAAACATAATTTCTGCTGGACAAGTTAACATTACAGTTGAAAGTTGGGTTATTATGTGTGAAAGGGGCTTGAGAAAGACATGAGTTGTGCATACATATTAAGGGTCCAATCACTGAACACAATAAATTCTATGTTGCCAGAGGGAGACTACCAAGTTTTAAAAAAATGTTGTACAAATCAAACTGCCTGAATGAACTTCTTATGAATCCCTTTTCATTTAATTAGCATCCCCCTTTAAGTCCTTCCAAGTTGTGTGTGTTGAAAAAAAAAAGAAACATTGAAAATTTCACTAATTCAGACTTGATTCTTTCTCCCTCTCTCCTCCTTTGCAGTTTCCAAGCTATTAGTGGGATCTTTGATTGAGATTAACAGAGCCCTGAAATCAATGAAAGATAATTAAAAAGTCTTTGTTGAAGGGTAGGCACTTGTCTGGGTGTGTAGGTGTGTGTTTGAGAGAGAATGTGCGAGTTATTGTGTTTCTGTGAGGAAGTGTGTGTTGTGGATAATGAATGTCTGTTGCATTGGTGCACATTTTTCTCTGCAAACTGGCTGATTGATAACGAGATTCAAAAAAAAAAAAAAAACTGTTGATTTCAGTTGTTATTTAAAACTTTAGCTACTAAAATTCAATGGAAAAAAGTACAATGTGAGGGAAGAGTATTGCAACAGTACTCTGAGGGAACTTTAACATTTAAATCTTTTAAATTAACTATGTGCAATGAGGCAAATGACCAAATGTGCAGAATGGTAGATGGGTATGTTTTTGAGCAAATAAATTAGTTCTGCTCCTAGGACTGAGCTGCTTAGTGACTCATCCACTAGCTACCAGGAAATGGCTGAAACACAGTTTTGTGTGTGTTTTTCAGGGTGAGCAGGATAGAAAATATACACCTCTGTGTTACTGTAGCTGTTAGCGCAGGGGGTAATGAGGGAGTTTGCACAAGAGGACAAATTTGCCACAACAGACAGACAGAAAAGAAAAAGAGGTAAGTCTGTGAGCTTGTGTGTGACAGAGTTTGTGTGTGGGTGGTTCAGGTGGCTGGATCTAATTAGTTAGAAAAATCAAAAATACACACGCCAATTCTATCACACAGAAACACACACACACAGACAGACAGACACACACAGACACAGACACACACACACGAACACACAAAACTACAAATGTAAGGTAGCTTACAGGCACAGCCTTCAGTCAGATCATATGATCTCAGGGTGACAGCTGACCTTGTGTCCCACATGCAGAAACTGTTTCATGACCCTACGGCCAAGCCAACATTAGGAATGCATTTTACATAATTCATAGGGGTCTACAGAAAAATCCTATTTTTCAAACTGTATTTTCACTGGACACCAACCCTGTCTCTCTTTTATCTAGCTATTCAAATTAATATTGGACAATTCTGCAAAGCCCTGGGTTCAATTCAATGACTACCTTTTTAAAACATCCAACATTTTTTAAATAATGTATTTCTAAAGTATCTTTACCAAAACAATTTAAGTATGGTTAAGTTCAGGTAACCAAAACTCCTTGTTTAATGATGAAATGCTGTCATTTACTTCCACATCCCATACTACATAAACAACATACCACTTCATACGTTAAGTTTGAGCACTGGGAATACATTGTATTGTATTGCAGAATTATTTCCTGGGAAAGCTAGGCTGCAGAATGTATACCAATTATATTGTTTGACTGCTTCACAGCTGGCTTTGTCTAATGTGGTATGAGTTTAATTAACTTACACATTGGCTTTTTAAGTTGAGTTGAGTTGTGAAGGAATCTCTACCTAAAGTAGTCAATTGTTGCAGCGTTGTTTTAATGTAAGGTGTTTCTATCTGCCTCCTTGTTAAAACGTAATTCTGGTGAATGTAACCACATGGAGCTTATGTTATTTAGTACGTTTGGGGAATAGAATCCCACTAAATCTTCACCTGCTTTACTGCAGTGTGCTTTTTTACGAGTCAGGCCATCTTTGGCCTGTACTACAAATCATTTTGACTCTCAGACAAAATTGGACAGACATTCGAACAGAGAGTGACAGGCAGATACAAACCAACACTTTTTCTCTCTCTGGTTTGCTCGCTCTGTCAGTCTAGTTCTGGTGAAACTACACTCTATTTTCAGAACAGCAGCACAGCAGGGCTGTCTCTCTGAGTGTGTGTGTGTGTCTGCACTGACTCTGTTTCTATTATTCCAATATTTTCATCCTGCAGTGGCGGCAGTTAATATTTCAACCCCCAAAATACAAACAAACACAGGGCCTTGATTCTTGAATAATACAGAGGTATTCAAGAATGTTTAAGTGCTGCAATATGAACAATACTGGCACCTGAAGAGAGACACACAAGTGTCTGATAAAATGTTACACAAGCAAAGTTGACGTGTCTGCATAGATGTTGTTTGTCTGTCTGTGACTCTGTGATTGTCTGCGTGCCTTAATGTGCACTGTACTCACCAGTCGTTTGATGATCCTAAGTGTTGTGCGTTGGATTCGGGGGGTCTTGGTGTGCATGTGTGTGCGCAGCGTGTGTGAAAAGCTTTGCAAACAAGAAGGTGACAGGCAATCATAACCCTCTCCTCCATACAGCTGGACCAGTAGAGACAGACACTGAATACACTCCTCCCAGACCTCCTGGTTTTCAGTCGACAGCTACAAGGAGAGGAAATAAATGATAAATGGAAAGATGAAATAACTTCATATTTACATTACTGTGGTTGCTCATGTGAGAAAAAAATAAAGTGAATGACTGAATTGTTCTTCTTCTTATAGGTGTACTAACAGTACACACAGGTTACCTTATTAAAGCACTAGGGGTATCACGATTCTCCAATTTAATTCTCGATTTAATTTTCGATGTTAAAGTCACGATTCAATTTTCGATCTTTTTTTAATATTACT